CAAAATTCCGGTGATTCGTCTGATCCGTCATTGCAGTCTTCATCTCCATCACAGATATAGCTTGTGTCAATACATTGTAGTCCACCCGGACACTTTGTATTGTATTCCGGGCATGTGTATTCTGATATGGTCATTATAATATGTACATATTATACAACATAACTCAATTAATTTAAACCTTACTTTTATTAAATCGAATATATCTTTCCATCGGAACTTGCACAACCCAAAATACAGCTTAATTGATAAGAATGTACTCAGAGTTACGAGAAATATGTACAAACCTTTACAAAATTCCGGTGATTCGTCTGATCCGTCATTGCAGTCTTCATCTCCATCACAGATATAGCTTGTGTCAATACATTGTAGTCCACCCGGACACTTTGTATTGTATTCCGAGCATGTGTATTCTGATATGGTCATTATAATATGTACATATTATACAACATAACTCAATTAATTTAAACCTTACTTTTATTAAATCGAATATATCTTTCCATCGGAACTTGCACAACCCAAAATACAGCTTAATTGATTAGAATGTACTCAGAGTTACGAGAAATATGTACAAACCTTTACAAAATTCCGGTGATTCGTCTGATCCGTCATTGCAGTCTTCATCTCCATCACAGATATAGCTTGTGTCAACACATTGTAGTCCACCCGGACACTTTGTATTGTATTCCGAGCATGTGTATTCTGATATGGTCATTATATTGAATTTAACTTAAATAAATTTCAGAACAATGAATTGTGGGCGACGAAAATTTCAGCCCGGACAGAATTTAAACTACACTGGCCACGGCATTTAACAAATTTAAAAATCTCAGTTCATCCCGGTCCCGGGTAATAATTTTTCATACTTCTCTCACTTAATTTTGATCCCATTCTACCGCTGATGTACTGGTAATCCGCATTTTAAGACAATTCTTGAGGTATTGCTATGATAAGATTGTTGATAGCCCTTGAGCCCTTTATAGCTTTATACTTAAGCCATTTTCCCTAAAAAAGGCTTATCTATCATAATCTTTAGAAATCCTTCCCTGTCCCCCTAAAAACCTCTAACCTGTTGAAAACGACTGGGTCAGGTTGATCATCAAAAGGAGCAGTATAACTAGCTCTATCTTAACGAAAACCATTATCCACTTGGGGCTGTACTTCGTTTCATTCTTCTGAGGAGATGATATATTGTAGTTTGATAAAATTTAATAACTTTATAACATCAAGAAAGTGGCTTCTTTCATTACATTTACCGTATTTCTTTTCTCTTATTTGGATATTTTTCGGTCATTCGAGCGGAGACCATGACCTATCGGGCGCCTATTGGGCGCCTATCGGGCGCCTATCGGGAGCCTATCGGGCGCCTTGCCATGGCCAATACTACGGCACATTGTGTTTGACCGTTTTTAGTTATTTTATCGGTCAATTACAACTTGAAGGTACGTGACACGATCAATTTTTGGACTGATTTTACATGTATTATAGTGTTGTTGCCAAGTTACAGCTGTGCACTGCTAGTGCTATGTTAGACTCTGGAGGTGTCAGTACTACAACTGATGATCTCTCGTAGAGCCTCCTTGGCAGGTAGGTTGGATTCTTTGCTGCGACAGCAACACAGCCAACAAGTCCCCAAACACGTCGGAATCCTCCACTTTCCCCAACTCCACCTAATGCCCTACCATCTTTGAATCCGAATTCTGACAGAACTCTATCCAGAGGAGCAGGTCCTGCCCTGTCGCGAAGGACGCCTAATCCTCCTACCTCTCAACGGTCAAGAAGTCCTCTCCACGGACCTCCTGCCAGCACTCCTCGACGCTCAAGAAGCCATCTCCGCCGACCACTTCCAGCCAGTTTATGATACATTTATGTGTGACAATCGCTGCATTCTTATTTATACGAGAAAAATCAGTCCAAAAATTGATCGTGTCACGTACCTTTAAGTTGTAAAATGGTCAAACACAATGTGCCGTAGTATTGGCCATGGCAAGGCGCCCGATAGGCGCCCCATAGGCCATGGTCTCCGCTCGAATGACCATTTTTCTTACAAATTCTAAAACGGAGGAAAATATTTTGCTTCGGTCGGCGAAATCAAGTTAAAAACTTTAACTGTGCCAGCAAACAAATAATTTATAATCTCTGCAATCACAAAAGTTAAGTAAGTAGTAATTTGGTAAGATAAAAACGTGAAAATTTTAAAAACTACAGCATCTTTAGTAAAGTCTTCAATGCTGTTCAATTGTCTCCTTCCAGCAAAAGGCAAAAGGTGTAGGACTGTAGGTCGAAGTAATACAGGGTGTAATGAGATACGATACTACTGTACAACACGAGATTCGAATTAAATGTTAAATAAGCTTGAGGTGCTGAACTTGCTGTTGAACCTGATTTACCAAAAAATTCAGCTGTCATTAAAAGAGAAAAATGAAAATTTGTCACCTGCACAACATTAACAATTCGCACCCACTCTGTGGTGCTTCTTAAAGCGAAATAAGGTTCTACTTCTATTGCCTGGACATATTCTAAAAAATAATAATATCTCAACTGGGTAATCAGAGCCAAATTGAATTATAAGCAAATAGAATCATTATCATGCAACTTATACAGAAGAGGTTGAGGAGTTTAAAATGGTCAAAACCTTGATTAGTACGTATGTCTACGATCCCTGAGACTAGTCTAAAATCAAAAGTTGTTTATCTTCTGGCTTTAGCTGTTTCATCCCAAAATGGAAAATAAAATGGAACGTTAGAGCTATAAAAATACAAAGTGCCGATTTTTAAAGTATATAAACTATGAAGTCATAGCCCAAGTGGCTGACGGAATGTTGACAACCCTTATTATCATCTTATACGTGAGCGTATCCGATTTATTCCACTTAACGGTTTGGAGACTTTATTTGTTTCATGATATGACATTCTAGGGGTGTGAAAACTCCTCTTGGCCAGACTGTCGTGGTGAAATTCCTTTGAAAACGAGCCCTCCTCGCTGCTCAACCGGTTTTAATTTAATTGACAGACATTACCAGATGGGGCAATTCGGTAATCTGTCGGTGGACACACTTTAGCCTAAGGGACACCTGAAAGCCTAAGGGACGGCTAAGCGCGGACAACACACAGAGGTTGCTTATAAACGCACGGACACGTAAAGTACGGTTAAGCCACTTTTAAGGCACGGTTAAGGAACACTTAATTAAGCCCAGTTAATGGACATTAGAGTAATATCAAAAAGAACATGCCCAGAAACCACTGTGCTCAACTTGATCGTAGAGTGTGTTCTAGAAATAAACCTAGAGTATGAACTATGATCCATAGCTTTTCTAATGGCCTTTGTTTTAATGCTTGGTTGGTAGGGAGTTAGCAAGGGGGTTTAAACAATAAAGCAGGAGCCCTCTTCATGCAATGCTCATGAATAAAGCATTGTTAATTTGTTAGGTTATTGGTCTGGGTACCTGCTTCGACTCCTTTCTTTATTGGCAAAGAGCCAATGACCGCCTGGATCCAGTTTCTTTTAACTCGCATACTTATAATGTAGAAATCTGAGGTGTCATTGTGTCAGCGGGGAGCTTGCCGACAAGACCGTTTAAGATAATGTGGTTGCATCATCTTAGCGTATCATGTACTGTCTTATTCTTCTTCGTAGGGGCTGCAGTCAAGGTGTGAACTAAAAGATAGAAGTAGAACATTGAAGCCCTGTGCTTACCCTGGTACTGATAGATATTCAGCTATAAGTGGAATGAATAAAATGTACTTAAATGTACCACTTAAAATCAGTGGTTTAACCGCGCCTTACGTACCTTACGTGCCTGCGCGCGCTAAATAACCCCTGTGTGTTATCCGTTTCTTAGACTCTTAGACAATTAGGGACATACCTTATTGGACATATTAATTGTCACGGACAAGTTATTCACGGACCAAATTTTTCACGGACATAATTATTCACGCTCAAGATTACCGCCCATAAGTGTTTTACTCTTTTTCTGAACTCAAGAATGTAACCGAGGAGTGATCATATTTGTCCTAGTATACTATAATAGACTAATATAGTGATCGGCTACACACATATCTACGCATAATATGTAGGGACAGTGGACCGGACTTTATTATTCACGTACCTTAATGCCACAGACATTATTTTCACGGACATGTTTATTCACGCTAAAGGTCTTCAGCGTGAAAATAATGTAGTTGATAATTATGACCGATAAGGTAAGTTATGTCACCAGTCACTAACATTGCACAGAAAAGTTACTACTGGATAAAAGTTAAGTAAAAAATGAACTCTGCTGTTCAGCTTTTGCTGTTAACAATGTTATACAAAGGTAAATGACTTAATCGCACAATCGCGATTACACAGGCCTCTGTGTCTTTGTCCCTCTCTGTAAAGTGTTGGAGAGCCCCTGTTTTAAGTTTAACTAATGTAAGCATTCAGAAAATTGATTTACCTTCCTGAATGTAGGATTTCACAAATCATTATATAATGGAAGCCACCCGTGCTTCTGATCTGTCCAGTATAACTATAAGCTTTGAAAAAGAGTATTCGGGTGAACTCTCTTCTTCCACAATACACGCGGAGTAATCCTCGTGCTACCAAATCAGAGTTTAGAGAACACAAACAATCCTATTTAATAGTCACTAGCATAATCGCCCAGCCTTTATCATTCAAACGCGTTCGAAGAGCTATTTATTTATTTTATAATCGAAATGTGCTCAGGCAGCCACATTTAGGGATACTATACTTGTTGCCCTTTAATTCTCACATTAATAGTGAAGAAGCGGTTGAAGCTCATGATACAATGTGGACAATCTATCCACAACTCATAAATATAAATATGGATTCTGGTGGGGAGGTGAGGCATATTTTTTGACACGTGACAGCAATTAACCAATCAGCATATATACTATTCTGAGTCTCTTTATCATGCACATTTGAACTTTGAAGTATAACGTTAGAATTAGATTTGACGCTGAGAGAAACTAATTTCAGTTGAAAAATTGACAAACATAGTATACATGGTATAACTATAAGGACAAGTATTTTTACGTATTATAATTTTTTACTTTTTAAATTATTAGTACTTTAAACTTGAAAAGAGCTGCAGTTTGAAAAAACATAACTGAACTTTGAAACAAACAAAAAAAACATTGTTTGACCATGAAATTGGTACGAAATTGAAAGTAAAGCCCTATAAAATTAAATGATGAAAATCCGTTTCAAATATGCCTATGCTGTTTGATCGGGCTGCACTTACAGCGCATAGAAGATGATTACCAGTAGGGGAGCCAAAACAAACTCGAGAGTTGAAGCGGAACTCTTATTGCATCTTTCCATTTTGCAGGAAGTGCACGGATATACTTCATCGTCATTGATGGTCGTAGCTTCACAAGGTCCGCATCCCATGTTGGGCACCTTGTACGTTTTGTCCGCCGCAGAATTAGGCCTGAAATATCATATTTAATCTGTACACTTTTTAATTGAATCAATGCTTTATGAATGATGTACGTTAGAAATCAAGAACCTAGTATTCTTGATGAAGCTCAGCAATAATTCAAAAGCAGGGCTAAAAGCTTGATTTAATAACTTTTTCAAATTCTCAACTAATTATCAGAAGTATTTATCAATTATCCTCATTTCCGTACATGTTGCATGTGACGTCAGTGTCTTTGTCACCGCTACAAAGTTTCGCTTTTTTAGACTGTATCCAGTTGCCCTCTTTTGACAAGGTGTAGTCGTAACACTCGAACCCGTGTTCTAACTCTGCAGGTTTATTGATGTCAGTTATGTCATACAATTTGTACAGCTTCTACCTTGATGAGCACGATTTAATCATTGGGCAAGACAGGGTCGGTACTTTAGGGATTATTTTATGCGATACAAAAGGAGGAAAGAGGGGACAAGAACGTTCAGTTAAAGTTTATTGGTTGTATATGTGATCCGTAAAATAGAATATGTTTACGTGAAATTATTATTGAAAGTCGTAGGCCATTCGGAAAAGTATTCATATCCCTGCAAACAATCATATATTTACCTATTGTAATTGCGTTGCATGGGCCCGCATCTGTCGCATCATTTATATCACATTCTTGACAATCCCGGTCCTTTGAATCTGCTGGGCACGGTCCGCATTTATACCCATACCCCTCCCCCCCGTACACAAACTTTGGACTGAGATAATAATGGTTTGTTAAACTTAAATCCGTGGCTAAAAGTTGAATACTTAATATGTTTAACATGGGAGATAGTTTTAAACCAGAATTCTATCATTTTTTAATTTTTAATTCAATTTATTTATTAATTTACCTGGACGCAATTATTTCACTGAACCTTGTGTAAATACATATTTTCATGAAATTTTCTACAAAACCTTAGCTAGTATAATATGTTAAGTGTTAACCCAGCTATTCATTCCCTACTAAAAAATATGTAACTCACTAAGAACACACGGCATCGTCCGCTGCACAGTCCTGCGCACTAATGACAGCTTCATCACCTACAGGACCTACCCAACACTGGGCCGCCCCTGTAGTGGTTTATGGTGTTTATAATTGTTATTCTAATATCATTGTTATATTGAATTTTTAAAACCTGAAAACCTTCCTCTGAACATGACAACGGTTTGTTCGATTGCCCAACAAAACAAATTATACCCTAGTAATCGTTTGGATAGAATCCATGGGCTTTAGTGATTTGAGGATTAAATAAGTAAATTATCGTTTAAAACGTAGATATAAGTACTTACAGACAGTTGAGAATAGTCCAATAAAGATCAGTAACATTTTCATTTTGCTGTGACGTAACGCTAAGGTGGAAGTTGTATTATTGCTTTTTTTACAATGTACATATCAAATACATGAACAAACATAACCTAAAAAATGACTGTGGTGAGAAAATCGTCTAAAGTTCAACTTAGCAAGTAGAAGGATGGCTGGAGTTGTAGGGACCATTTCCTAAAACAATACTAAACAGAATGGTGCCTATGCATAAAATATGTGAATTAAACCTAATTTTTATATGCATACGTTCGCGTTATTCTTCGTATGATCGAATTAATATGGGTAATCTCATTCCTCAGAATAATTTGGGGATTGAGCTTTAGCCATCTTTACCTGCTTGAAGCTTTTTCATCGTCTTACATATTTCTTCCAATTTTACCAGTGCGAGTGAAATCGAATTATTATGGATTCCCTCTCTTATTCTCCTATTCCACAGAAAAATATTCGATTGAGCTTGGAGTCAAGGACATGCACCGGTGTATTTCGAGCCATTTTGATCTATTTTGAGCTCTTTCATTGTCTTGCATAACAATGGAATCACGATTAGTATACTATCACAGTATCTCTTTCGACATGGTTTCTCCTCTGAGATGATGCATTTATTACTCGCGCAGGTGCTGTCTGACCAATTAGTTGCGAGCTTTAGTTGCGAGCTTTAATTGCGAGCTAGTTTACAAAAATAAATAACTGGTATTGTAAAATCCGGATCGGAATATTGTTTATGAGTCGCATGGTTGCAATGTATTCTTGTGTAAATTTGTATTGATCCCGTTTGATGCGACAAGGTAAAATGCTGTTATCAAGAAATCAATGTTGTAACATTGAAACGATGAGTAATTTCTTTCCTGATAAGAGCATTTTTCCTTGTCGCATCAAACGGGATCAATACAAATGTACACAAGAATACATAACTGGTATTGATATTACACAATACTACCTAACAAGGAAAAAAGAAAATCGTGATTATTTAGGCCCAAAAATCGCGGCACCGCGACAAGTCAAACTAGGCAAAATCATGGTGAATTTGCGGCGAAAGATAATGTATTTGCAGAGCTAAGTTAGATGTCATAAATTACTTACTTGGGGGGTTACTTGGGGTTGCTTCATAGATCCTCTAACGGGTCATCAGAACGGCTGACCACCCGTGCAGCGAAGTTGCTGTCTTTTCTGCGCTCCAGTTCAATAACGAATTCCCGTTCTGGCAACAATATCCAGTAACAGGAGGTTCGTCCGGAATAGATGTAACAAACTCCGTCAACAATGACTTGAAGCGTAGGGGGTCCTCGATAAGGTGCAGGTTTGCGGGAATGATGTTCCACAATCGAGGCCCCATCACTGCAAATGAGCTGTCAAAGATCGTTTGATTCCTTTGGCTACTGGACGTTGACAAGCTAGGGACTACTGCTTTCTGGCCATATCGGAGTGTATCTGTAAACTGAACGTTGACATCATTAGGACACTTCTTGTGTAGAATTTTCCACATATGAATGATAGAGTAACGTTCTCTCCTCCGTTGAAGTGACATCAGTTTTAAGGCCTTCAGTCTCTGCCAATAGTTCAGATGTTGCACACCATGTATTTTGGACGTAAATGTACGTTGTACTCCCTCTAGCTCAGCGATATCAGCTTGCTTAGTTGAATTCCAGAGGGGACAACAGTACTCAAGATGGCTTCTGACTAATGACTTGTAGAGGGTCAGCATAGTGATCTTGTTTCTCGATCTAAAAGCGCTCAGAACCCAATAGGCAACTTTACGGGCACGATCTGTTATCATAGTAACATGGGAGCTCCAAGACAAGTCCGCCGAGATCAAATCCCCCAGGTCTTTGACTGCATCCGTAGGGTACATTATGTTACCATGCGAAATTTGATAAGTTTGCGTCAGGATGGCAAACGGGAGGTCTTGCAAGCTGTTTCGGGGACAGTGTTTGTGCACGAGTAACTCAAATTTATCCTCATGCAATGACATGTTATTGCATCTTGCCCAGTCGATGACAGAGTTGAGATCATTTTGCAGTATACTTGCATCTTCAAGTGTATAGATGTGCCTCAAAATCCGTGTATCGTCAGCAAAGAATCTAATGACACATCCTGTGATGCACAGCTTCATGTCATTAATGAACAAAATGAAAAGCAGCGGGCCCAAAACTGTACCCTGTGGCACTCCGTTTATGATTGCTGCAGCAATTGATGACATCCCGTCCAACACAACACACTGTGTGCGGTCACTTAGAAGGATTCGATCCACGACACCACCTTTTCGTGAATTCCCATTCTTCTAAGCTTCTTAATAAGCAGTCGGTGATCCACTTTATCAAATGCTTTCGCAAAGTCAAGGTATATGGCGTCAGTATCAGCGTTTTTCACCAATCCTTGAACAATGTCATCAACGTGACTGAGCAGTTGGGTGAGACAGCTCCGCCCAGATCGAAAGCCATGTTGATTATCACAGAGTAATCCGTTCATCTCTATGAAGCTAACCATCTTGCCACGCAGTATGCGTTCGTACACTTTTATAACGTGAGATGTGAGCGCCACCGGCCGGTAGTTGACAGCTTTCGCCCGATCACCCTTTTTGTATAGAGGAGTGATGTAGGTATCTTTGTAGAACTTAGGTACTTCACCACGCTCAAAGGATTCGCTCCAGATGAGCCGTATCGGCTTGCACAGCTCTTTTGCACAGCGCTTTAAGAGGATAGCAGGTATTCCATCAGGTCCGCTAGCAGAGTTAGGAGGAATAGTCCCGATTGCAGATATGATATCGTCATCCATGATGCAAAAATCTTCAGGAGTTTGCGGATGTTCGATCATAGGTAACGGGAAATCTGGGTCCTGGATATCAGGAGAGCTTGGATCACTGAACACGGAGCTAAACTGCTCCTGAAGTAAGTCCGCCATCTGCTTTGTGTCAGTAGTGATCTCCTGGTTTGCATCAAATAGCATGTTAATACTGGATTTGATAGTTGAGAGGGATCGGGCATAACTATAGAAGAACTTCGGATTACTTTTAATCTTCTCGATGGCTCTGTTCTCCTTCTCATCCAGTTTCTTGGTATGTGCAGTCATGATGTCGTACTGTAAGAGTGCAACTTTATTCCTGACTGCCTTGATCTGGTCTACTGAAGCATTCTTGTCAATTAATGCTTGAAGTCGTGCTTTTTTGCCGGTTGCATTTCCGTCTCAACGCGTTGCTGTGCTTAGGACGTCCAGAGGGCACCGATTTCTGAGGAACACACGAACAGCAAATCTGGAATAGGGTCTCCGTAAAAAGAGCAGGAAACTCCTCAAAGGAGCATGAGTCACGAAGCTGAGACCAGTTAACTTCCTGTAACTCCTCCTTTAGTGCATCAAAATCCGCCTAAAGAAAGTCAAGAGACCTGAAGCTACTTTCGTCAAACTTAGGGATGGTAGCCTCCTTTCGGGATAGCGGATTGGTAGCGAGCATAACATCCACCAGATGATGGTCAGACAGTGAGGTAGCTTGTGCCTGAACATTAGTAACAAGTCTGCTGTTATTCGTGATGAACAAGTCTAGAACATTGATACCCCTGGTTGGACAAAGGACGTATTGACTCAGCAGGTGCTTGGCCATGAAGTTGTGAAGGGAGTGAGCTGATAGCTGAGTGTCACTGGAACCTCCTGACGACACGGATACAGTCTGCCAGTCTATTGAGGGTAAGTTGTAGTCACCTGTGATCATAATATCGTAGCTTTCATCATTAACACGGTGAATACACGTGGAGATAAACTCCAAAAGTGAGTTGAAACTGCTGAGGGGGGCATTTGGGGGTCGATAAGCCACTACAGCACATGTATTAATAGTGCTAAATCTGCAAAATAAACCCTCGCAGGTACCATCATCAAACGTATCACACTCACTTACAGGTATGTTGATGTGGGAATAGAGCAAAACTCCGCCTCCGACCCGCCCACTTCGGTCACATCGGGAGACTGTATACCCTGGAACATGTAGTTGGGCATCAGCCATATAGGGTTTGAGCCAAGTCTCAGTGAGCGCTACAAAAGGTAAGAAATGATTTCTCGCTCGTTCATCGTGAATGTAAGCGGAAATATCGGGCACCTTCCAACGGCTTGTACTTGAAGCGCTCGGATTCATGGACTGCACGTTTAAGACGAGGCATGAGGAATAGTGGGCACGTTCTGCATCATCGGGGCATAGGTAGGGAGCAGTGGTGTCGGGTAGGGGTACTGGCGCTGTGGGTACGCCAATCCTGACTGAAGGTGTGGTGGGGGGAAACTGGTATTGAGGGTTGAGGCAGAGACTGGCACGAATTTCCGAGATTTCCCGAGTGAAGCAGGTTTGCATCCTGTCCATCAGTCTCGCTAACTCTAAAAAATAAGCCCCATAATCAGCAGATGAGGTAGAATCCTGGGTAGCTGTTGGGGCGGGGGCAGCTTTATCACCTTTCTTGGGCCGAGGAACACCACCATTCTCCTTTCTCCGGGTCCCTTTCAGGTGGATAAATGTGCACTCTGAGTTAGTACACAGCTTGTTCTTGACAGAGAACTTACAGAGCACGGGGTGAAAGAACTTGCAGCTGGAACCCTTATCGCATCCGAACTTACGCTGAGTACCAAAGCGGCAGTACTTATCACAGTATCTAGGGTGTTCGAACTCACAGACTTGTCCGTCATGTTCTTTCTTCCCCCTTAAACCATGCGGACATTATCCTCGCTTATACTTCTCACACACCCGTTCTCTGACAACTTTATCCAGTTTTGAGTTGAGATCATTAAGATTTAACTTCTCCTGGTTCTGCTTGAAAGATTCCAATGTTTCGTTGCGAGGCGAGGAAACTTGCGAAGAAGATATAGTGTCATTAAGTCTTGCAAGGATAGCGGGGTCCGTGATATTCACGCTATCATGGGGAGTTTTCCTCTTTCTAGACGCAATAGGCACACTAGACTCGTTGCAAGATTTGCACAGCCAAACGTAGCTAGAAGGTAGGTCTATCGAAGCCTGAGTTAAAACATCATGTAAACCAGATACAACAGCACAAT